GTTCTACCCCCTGGTGGTCAGTGTGTGTCATAGTAAACAGTCATTCCCAGTCATTCTGCTATTAAGGTCAATTTTCATATTACCCTTTTATTATATTAGATAGAGGCCTGGTGCATGAGTGGGGGCCAGCTGGTTTGCCCTGAAGGGTGTCCTGGATATGGGGGGATGTTCCGCTGGGGTGCCTGGCCAGCCTGGATGAGGGGCTGATGGCCATTTTCAGGCTGGCATGCCCCTCTCCCCCGGCAACCCAATGTCCCAGTCTCTCCGTAAGCGGAGGCCACAGCCGGCTGGAAGCAGGTATCTGGGATTTATTTATCTTCTATAATTGAAACTTTGTAGCCTTGAGCGGAGCTGAGGGCCAACCAGGGCAGGCAGAAAGCTTGGCTTCCTCCATCGCCAGGGGCAACCTAAGCCTCCTGCTCACTCCAGCTCTGTGGCCGCTGCCATCTTAGTTGGGTTAATTTGCATACTAGCTCCTGATTGGCTTGTGGGTGTGGCTTGAGCATAGCGGAGGGACAGTTAATTTGCATGTTTCTCTTTTATTATATAGAATCATGTGTAGCAGGAATTTAACAGCTGTACCGGACAAACCTAATTTCAAGTGACGTAAGCAAAAAAGAAAGTACCATTAGCCCTGGCTTTTACTCAGTCTTGATGGAACAGCTCACAATGTAAGCGAAAATTCATGCTTTCTCTAGTGTTGGTTTGCTCTCAGACTCCATACAGACCCCCTGGGATTCTACATTTAGACCCTCAGACCCTCATCCAGGGCAAGGGTAGGCTAAGAGAACATGTCTTTTTCCAGAAGCCCTAGAAACATGCCATCATTGACTATAACTGAATTTCATTATTTCCTTGGGGGCAATCTTGGGGTTGGATGTAAAATGAATACCACTCAAAATACATAGGCTTACTTGCTGCAGCAACAGAGACCACACACCTTGGTGCTTTTTAGTAAGGTGTTGGGAGCGGGGGAGAGCTTAAAGAATCTGAGCATATTTAAGTAATTTTGAGGAGGGCTCGAGTGAGCAAGGGTTTCTTCTTGATTAGGTGCTGTCAGAAAGTGGGAGGAATTTTGCTACTGGGTGTTGATTTTTATCTAGCACAGAGAAATGGAACAAGGTAAAGCAGCAGCAGTTGCACAGGTTAGCCACAAGAGGGGGTTGCCCAGGCATTTTTGTGGTTTGCACAGTGACTATTGGTCATTCTCACTTCATCAAGTTCCCAGTGACCTCATCTGACATAGGAGATCTGGGAGCTGTTCATGTTCATCAGGAGAACACCGTGGCCTTGCTGCAAGAGCCAGGCCAGCTTTTAGTTCCCAGATGCTCCTTTTTTCACATTGAAAGCCCTGAAATGTGCAGAAGTAAATTAAGAGTATAAAACAAAATAATGAAATAAATCAATGAAATTATACCTTAAATATGGGGACTTAAAGTAGTGGAAGAGTAAGCATTACGTTTAGATTTTCTCTTAAAAGGATAGACTCACACTGCAAAGCTAATGATATGCTATTTACCAAAGATACAACTAAAATAAAATAAGAGATTGCAAGAAAAAAAGGCACAAATGTATCAGAGAAGTAAAAGTTACTCCCATGGGGTGGGTGTCTACCATGTGCTAGGCAATTTTCACACAGTAGTTCAGTTAATATGACATTTTCATAATTACTATATGGGGCAGGCATTATTAACCTCAATCTTTAGATAAGAAGACTAAAGTTGAATAAAAACAAATCAGTTACAGAGCCATGATTTGAATTTGTATTGAAGCCTGACTGGAAGGCATGTCTGTTACACTGCATTGTCTCTCTAGACACCAGGAATACAGGAATAACATTAATACTGGACTAAGAATTTAAAGGAAGCAAACAAATAAAAAGCCTTAACTGTGATAAAGAGAACCATTCCATATCAATAAGAGGCACAACCACGGGTACAAAAATGAAACAAGTATCAAATAGCATCAAAATGCATAATGGAAATTTACTAGGATAAAAAAATTAAAAGATATAAATAAAATTATCAAGGGATTCTCAACAGCCCTGCTTCATAGATCATGGAAACAAAAAGTCACAAAAGACTTGAGTAACATAATAGAAAGATTGAGCATTTATTTAAAATGAATCCTCCTATCTAATAAAAGACAAAAAGCATAATTAACTGTACCTCCACTATGCTTCCCATTGGCTAATCAGCAAGATATGCAAATTAACTTCCAACCAAGATGGCAGCCGGCAGCCACGCAGCTGAAGCGAGCAGGAGGCTTGCTTGCTCCAGTGATGGAGGAAGCC